AAATAAGTCAAATAAACAGTTTTAGACTCTTGTATTTATTATTTAACTTGATATTTATAACTATATTATTTTCCATACTTATTATTTACTTAATTTTTTATAATTTAAATATAATATTTACATAAATAAATAAAATATTTATAAATAACGAGCATACCCATATTTAATACTCACCCCTATATTAGAGTCAGCCATAGAGTAGATTATTTACATTTACATCATTCTTCCAGCCCATTTTTCTGGGCTGCACGTATTTTTTACATTGCCAACCCAATGAGGCAATGCAGGCTCATAAATGTTCATTCATGTTATATACGCGGCCCACAAGGAAATATAGCCCTAAGGCCCTGCTCATCAGTCTTTCTAATCTATGCATCTTTAACCAACAATACAACACTTGGAAGGCAAATCCCCTGATAGTCTAAGTGACAAGCAAAGATTGTTCTATGTAGGCCGAACTTAAGAATTAATCTAAAATTAAATGTATTAAAATTTAGAATGACCGTGGGAGTATGTTCTTAAAATTACTTAAAAGTGCCAACAACCTAAATTAATTCAGTAGTAATGTACTTTTGTTGAGAGTAAGAGATTTTAAATTCAAATTATATGGCATATGAGTGGGATGAAATAAAAAATATAAAATAATTGTTTCTTATTGTGTAATAAAGATAAAAAAAAAACTTAAAAGTTATTAATTTTAGGATACACATAAATTAATTTAAATATATTATAAATATTAGCATTCAAACGGAAGGAAAGTTGGACCTTTGTGTAAATTTTCTTTTAATAAAATTTTAAATTTATGAAAAAGTAATTTAGTTTTAAGTAAATTATTTTTTTTCAAAAAACTATTTTATAGGATAAAATATACTTAATTTGTTTTGTAAAATTATTTAAATATTTTTTTTAAAATAATATAAAAACAAAATCAATAATATTTAAATAATTTTATAAAATAAATTATATACAACCCATTCTATAAAACAATTTTCGATTTTCATTTTTACCAAACACCCTCGAGACCCAGCGGACGCTAATCAAGCAATGTAGGAAGTAGCGAAAGCCACGGCTTCGTAATGAGTCCGTCCCAGTCATGTGAAGGAGGAAATCCGAAAGGAAATAAATTGCCTGGATCCAACCGTCATGCCATTGCCATTATTGGACCCTTGTGCATTCTGAGTTTATAGCATGGCTACGATAGCTCGTTCTTGTAAAATTATTTTCTTCCATTAAATGCATGAAATTAATTTTATCAATCAAAATAATTGATTTCCATATTGCTACTTAAGAAAATATTTCCATATATCTCAATAGTTAAAAGAGTTTAAGATCTGTTGCCTTAAATTTAAACCACAAAATTTAAAGTTTAGATGATTATTTTTAAAAAATGAAATTAGCTAAATATTATTTTGTGCTTTTGTCAACTTTTTTTTTTTTTAGCTACAAGGATCTTTAAGAAATTTTTTTTTTAAATATAGAGAATTATAAAAGAAAAAGGAATTTTTCAAGTAATCGATAAAAATTGAACTTTCAATCAATTAAATTTAAGTATTAAAACTTGAGGACGAATCATTATATTTGAAGGTTCAATTTAAAATTTTTTTCTATTTGAAAGAAATGATAGAAAAACAAGGTAATTTTGATTAATAATATATAATTTTATAGTTTAATTGTAAATTATAAATGATTGGTTAGAAAAAAAACTGTTAATATTTTTAGGCTAATCATTTGTTTAATTATTTATATTGTATAGTCTCATATGATACAAACTATATAATAGTTTTTTTGATTTTTTATCAATTAAATTAAGTTGTTAAATAAAAAACTTAATTTAATCGTTAAAATAGTCTTCCATCCTTCTACTCTCTTACTCAAAAAATCCAAACAAGCTTAAAAAAAAAAAAAAAAAAAAAGTAAGCTGAACATAAAAGGCAGTG